CCCCCATACTGGCCTCCCAGCCTACTCTACCATACTGGGCACCCAGCCTACACTACAATACTGGGCACCCAGCCTACTCTACCATACCGGGCACCCAGCCTACACTACCATACTGGGCACACAGCCTACTTTACCATACTGGGCACCCAGCCTACACTACAATACTGGGCACCCCAGCCTACACTACAACACTGGGCACCCAGCCTACTCTACCATACCGGGCACCCAGCCTACACTACCATACTGGGCACCCAGCCTACTCTACCATACTGGGCACCCAGCCTACACTACAAACACTGGGCACCCAGCTTTCACTGTCACATGAAGGCATCAGCTCTCCTCTACAAGGCACTTACTACCATGAAATGACTCCAGTGCACACTTGTCTTTCTGCATAATGTATCTGCACATCCCCAACAATTTGATGGCTCTTGTAAATCCTGACAGTTTTTAATAGTTTCTTATTTTTCCATTGCATTTTTCTACCTGCATATGTCATTTTGGTTTAGTTGAGTTTTAGTTTATTTTTTGTTCATATACAGTACGTGCTGTTTTGCTTATCCTTGGTTGCGAGGTTCCACCTAATGTCTTCATATCCGTTTCTGTTTAATTCCATCTTGTTGATGTTTTCTGCTTGTACGTGTTTTTCATATATTCTTCCAGCTCCCCATTTTGTTGTATTATTTTGTAGGAATTAAAGTGACATTAAACCCTCAGATTTTTTAACATAAACCAATACTGTAATGTGCGCCTTACTGTAATCCATGGTTGTTTCCCTTCTCTTTGCTGCTCTTCCTTTTAAATCCGCATGTCTTCTCATGCTGGGGGAGAACTTCCCTTTTCAGCTCAGGGCCTCTTCCTGTAGTGCTGGCTCAGGTTGCAAACCTGCACACAGACACCATGTATCCATTCCTGAGACAAGGCAGTCTGCTGCAAAACAGAAGTTCTGCCCAGCATGAGAACAGATACAGATTTAAAAGGAAGAGCAGCAAAGAGAAGGGAAACAACCATGGATTACAGTAACATTACAGTATTGTTTTATGTTAAAAAATCTGAGGGTTTAATGTCACTTTAAGTACTTTCTTCCTGTCCTGTAGCTTTGTAAATATTGGTGCAGTTTATTCACTAGAATTGTGTCACATTGTGGTTATTGTTACATTGTATTTTGTATAATACTGAAAATACAGACTTGCAGAACTTTGTTGCTGTGTTTGCGCTGTGCATGTGTCCTGAGCAAATGCTTATTAGCTTTTATCATTATTAATGCTTGGAGGCTGAAAATTTTAGGCTACAATTATTTTCAATGTGCTTGCAGCTAAGTCGCCTTTAGTTTGCGCACCTTCGCATCAATTAGTGTTATATACAGAGCCTGGACGTATTGTAGGTAGCATGTAACTCCTGGCAGAAACTTCTCACTTTGGTGGGGCTCAGAGTCACTGACGTTTGTGTGTGTTTGAGGCATGGGAAGTTGTGCCATTACCTTGAGACCCTAAGTTTTAATTTGCTGTTAATCAGAGACCCTAAAAATATTTTCCCTGATATAATGTTTTAGTGATCTGTTGGGTTCCTTAAAATCAGTTTCTGCTACCCCAGCTGAAGTCATCTCTTATATATACACCATTTAGGCAAATATTTTAGACACCAGACCAACACTTGTTTGGCATCTTTTTCCAAAACCATGGACACTAATATGGAGTTTCCCCCCTCCCCTCCCCTTCCATTGTGGCTAGAACAGCTTCCACTCTTCCGATAAGGCTTTCCAGGGGCGTCCCGAGGGAGGGTGACATCCGGATCGGTTACCAGGTGACACCCCGCCGTGACCTCACAGCACATGCGCAGCGATCTTATTGATACCTGCTGGCGGCCATCTTGGTGATGGACGCTGGCAGAGAGAGGAGGGGACAGTCACCCGGCGGGATGAGGTATGCCGCTGTGTCCCCTCCTCTCTCCCGAAACTGTCGAGCGCTCGGTCCATGACCGAGTGCCCGACTTTTCAGTGTGGGTGACACCCGGGTGCAGGCCGCACCCCTTGCACCCCCCTTGTGACGCCACTGAGGCTTTCCACAAGATTTTGGGGGGAAAGTGCAACCACTTAGACACCAGGGCAGTTGTGCGGTCAGGTACTCAAGTTGGATGAGAACAAGTGGCTCACAATTGCCGTTTCAGGTGTTCAGTAGGGTTCAGGTCGGGGCTTTGTGCAGTCCACTCAAGTTCCTCCACACCATCCTCATCAGACCGTGTCTTTTTGGAGCTGGCTATGAGCAAAGTCATGGAGGAACGGATACAAACGGATACAAATAATCAGATTTATTCAGTTTGGTGAACTGACACGAAGGCTGAAGTTCTGTCTTCTGCTGCAAGACAAGCCGGAGCCTCAACTGGTGAGGTGATCAGACGTCCTGGACTGCTGGATCAACATGTGCCTCTGCCAGTGATGAGGAGGGGATCCGGGTGTCCTGGTAGATGATTCACATCCAATGCATTGGAGCTGCAATGGCTGCGCACCACCGACGCAAGATAAAGCAATTTGACTCGTCACAAATGGGCGCAGTTCACAACACCATGTTGCAGTGGCGTGCGCTGAAAAAAAGGACTGCATACCCTTGTGGCGACTGGTGTGGTTGAGCCCATAATGAATACCATTTATTTATCTTTTAAAAAAAATCTTTTTATTCATCTCTTGTTACATCTCAGTGCTACTGATCTCCTGCAGCCTTTTTTTGCAGCCACTTCCTGTCCACATGCATGCCAGTGGTGGCTGCATGGCATTTCTCAGGCGGGTTTCCTGATGGTGACAACAGCGACAGCAACAGCCTGCCACTTAAAGAAAAACTCAGTGGAAAAACAATGATTAACCCTTGCAGTGGGGCTACCCCCACTCGTTGCTCGTTTTGGTCCAGGGAGGGAAATTATGTTATACTCATCCGATCCATGGAGGCGGCCGGCTATGACAGCGCTCCCTCCAGCCTCTTTTCTCCTATGCTGCAGCAGTGGAATGTCTCTCAGTGTCCTCATGTCCTATACACTGTGTGTAGAACGTGATGATTTATGGGACCTGAGGCCGTTGCAGCGGAGGAGGAGAGATGTTCCAGGGTCCGGTGTAAGAGCAAGCTGACTCCAAGGATCGGGTTAGTATAACATTTTTCCTCCCTAGACACAAAGGAGACGTTAACGCTTGCAGTGCGGGGGTTGCCCCCGGAATAATTTTCCCCAGAGTTCTTCTTTAAGGCTCCATAAAAGGCCTGCATGACAATGCAGGAGTGCAGTTGGGAGACTTTTTGTTACAGCGTTGTCACCCTGTAACAAAAAGTACCCGAACAAGGACTTTCATGGCAGGATTCCCATATAGTATTTTAGGGGCCCAGGGTAAAGCTGCACAGCCTTTCCACCACTAGATGGAGCCAAGGAGCATAGGAATTTCCTATGCTCCTCGGCTCCATCTAGTGGCAGGAATGGTGTACGCACGGCGTTCACCCAGCTGTATGCTGGGTGGAAGATGCATACATCAGTCATGAAAGCTGCAGATGTAAAAATGACACTTGAAATGACAGTAACATGTTAAAGCTTCTATAAACTTTTAGGAAATGGGCTTACATATATTTTAAAGCTTTTTTTTAAACATTATTATAATAGGATTTATAGAGCGCCGACAGTTTGCACAGGAGGATCCTTGTCATTGAGTCGGTGAGCTTGTCATTGAAGGTTACAGTAGTTTGGTGGTCTATACTGTACA